GCCCGGTGCCAGCGCAGAAAAAGAGCCGCGGGAGCAGCCTTGAATAGGTGGGAATCACATCACCTGTCACTTAGGGCCCTAAGGGGACGATCTTGGCACCTTATCCAATCAGAAGCGCCTTCCTAAAACTGTCCAATCAGACCGCAGCAGGGCAGGAAAAGGGCGGTTCCAGAAGCCCACTGGGCCTTTGTCTCCCGTGTCTCTCCCCCTTGCTGGGCGTTAGCTGCTTCTCCTCCGAAGGCCCGGGGGTTCTGCGCAACCGCTGTCGCCCTGTTTCTTGCAAGCGCTGAAAGATCCCGGGGAGAATGTCTGGACACCATGAAAGCCAGGAAATGGTGAGCGTCCTGAGTGTCCCAGGAGGAGCTTGGGCCTCCTCGTCAGCCTTGGAGTCTGAGGACGGCTCCTGGCAGGTGCAGCGCGGCGCTCAGACGCCTCAGGCCGCTGGACGGCCTGGGCCGGCACCCAGAGCTCCGGCTTCCTGTCCGGTTCCCGCTGGTGCCCTCAGCTCTGACCAGAGCCGTCTGTGGGCCGCTCTGCCCACAGCGGCACGTCTCCCCCAGACTGCGCTGGGACGGGCGCTCCATGGAGGGTCCTCAGGGAAGAGTCCTCGCTATAATGCGAGGTTTCTGCGTGGGAGGAGCTGTGGTCCAAGGGGTCCCGGTCCCTCTTTTTTCCTGATAAAAATTAAATTGAGGCACCTTTAAAATACGAGTTTATTAGAGCAAGCAGCGAATCGTTAATTAGGAAGTTATAGGCAGGGTTTGTGTTGGGGTCCACCGGAGGGGCTAGTGTAGGTGCGCAAGGATGCAATAATGACTTGGTTCAGTCAGTTATGTAGTCCCTGTATCTGGATTATCCAGGTGGCTGTGTTCTGGTTCTGTAATCAGAAGTTAATTGGCAGTTTAATTGTTGGAAGAACCTAAATTTTCTTTCTTTGTAAAAAGTAATTTACAAATAGAATACATTTGGGTGAAATTTTAGTATTCTTAGGTATGAAAGTAGGAGGCACTAGAGTCAGTTCAGTCTAACTGCCTTCTAAATAGTTATTGTAACACTCCAGCAGACTCTGGATTTCTGCATTTTCCAAATGTATGGCAAACAGATCTCAGATTCACCATACTGTTCCCCGGGTGAAACTCATGTAGGGCTGGCAGTAAAGTTCTGAATTTCTAGTTCCTTTCCCACATTCCCGAATACCAACTTCCCCTCACCAAGTCACAACATTATGAACTATTTGTCCTTTATTTTACTTTTCATAGAGACAGTGTTTTAACTTTTTATCATTTTTTTCACAGAACAGTGGGTGGCTATTTAAAAAATTTTTATTTCCTATTTCTGAACATTTCACATTAGAGGATATTCATTTGACACTGCCCCGTAAAAATATCTTTTGCCTCTTCTTCCTTCGTCACAAACTCGTTACCACAATGTCTTTGGGTTGAAGTTCTCCTTTGGAAACTTTAGAGGGTGATGTGTCCTCAGCCACCCTCCTGTTTTTCCGTTGTCCCAGAAAATTGTCTGGGAATGATCCAAGGAGCCCACAGCAGCCCTGTCTCTTAGAGTGTCTAGTGAACATCAGCTGTGGGTAATCTCCCAGAAGACAGCATGAGGTGTGAGGGTGGAGCCTCTCAATGTAGCAGCTGGATGTCCTGGAACTGAGAGGAGTTTCCTGCTTACATGCGTCATTGAAAAAGCTAACCCCTTGGGACATTAACATTTTCTTTCCCCAACCCCAGTTTTTTATTTCTTGGAGACACACTGGTGGTCAGCTAATTGGATGCTGGTAATGACAGGAAAAGACAGAAAAGATTCTCATTCTCTGGATTTTTTCAAAATTATTTCTCGAAACAAGGAAAACCCACACCAGCAAAGTGGGGTAAGAACCCTGGAAAGCAGTTTGCACTTCAGGCCTAGGTGGCGAAAGAGCAGTATTTCCTGAAAGGGTGGTCTTCCAGCACTTTAGTAAATCAGGATGAGAGCGAAGGATGTCGCAACTGATAGAATATAGAATGGCCTAAGTTGGCATTTGAGTCAGACATGACTATCTTCCTGTCAACATTGTCCCTCCCAAGGTTTGTCACCTTGAAAATATAACTTTGGTTTTTTATTAACTGTAAAAGGAATTTTAGCACTACAGCTCGAAAGATAAGAAAATACTTTAAAGTTATAAAAAAGGTAGATTTTAGAAAAAGTCATAATTGCATTTATTAAAAATTCTCATTTACCTATATTCTTTGCCAGAGTGAATGTAGTTAAGTATATTAGATCTTTTATATATTTTTAGTTGATTTTCATTAAAAAATTTTATTTATTATAATTTTTATTTTTTAACTCTTAAAATTATATTTGAAATTAACATGAAAGTACAAATTTTTAGGTTACATTGTTCTCACTTCCAAGGTAAAGTTCAAGTTGTAGAAGAACCCCTCTCATAGGGAGTGTGCTGAACACTCTCACAATGTGCATGTTAGGTGAGATCCTGCCAAATGCCCCCTTTCTTTTCCCTCCCCTTTCTCCCCTCTCCCTCCTCACCCTGACCCTTCGCTAGACTATATTTGTGTTTTATCATTCATGTGAGTGTGTAATTATTTATATATTGGTTTCATACTAGTGTTGAGTACATTGGATACTTTTTTTTCCCATTCTTGAGATACTTTACTAAGAAGACTGTGTTTCAACTCCATCCAGGTAAACATAAAAGATGGTAAGTCTCCATCTTTTTTGTGGCTGAATACTATTCCATAGTCTACATATACCACAGTTTGTTAATCCATTCATGGGTTGATGGGCTTTTGGGTTGCCTCTATGACTTGGCAACTATGAATTTAGCTGCAGTAAACATTCTGGTGCAGATATCTTTGTGGTAAAATGATTTTTGTTCTTCTTGGTAGATACCTAGCAATGGGATTACTGGATCAAATGGAAGGTCAACTTTTAGTTCTTTGCAAATTCTCTGTACTTCTTTCCATAAAGATTGTATTAGTTTGCAATACCGCCAGCAATATAGAAGTAGTCCCTTCTCTTCACATCCATGCCAGCATCTACAGACTTTGGACTTTGTCATGTGGGTTAATCTCACTGGAGTTAGGTGATAAGGAGATAATTTCACTTAATTCCAGGGCTTAGCTTTGGGAATGTTACCCAGGAGGGGAAAAATGGGAAAAATTCTTGCTTTCATTCTGCAGAAAAGTGAATACATTTCCACAAGAAAGTGTGATAGAAAAAAATGGTGAATGACAAAGATTCACCAAAATATCCATTCCTCTCTTTTTTGTAGGGCATAGAATTTATGACAGTGGGTAACTCTGTTTTCTATCTTGGTATCTGGAAGTTGGGATTTAAAATAAATACTATGAGGTGGGATTTGGCTGCCCCCAAAAGTGTTCACATCTGATTGTTTTCTAAATGATTTGTTATCATGGAAATGATAATTGAATGACCTGCTTATTTGAAAGGGGTAGTTTTGCTTTTCCTTTTGAGGTACGAGATTTAAGTGATTTAGAGTTTCTGTGGTGTGGTAGATATATTGTGTTTTTTATCTATGATACATGGCTCTCAGTTTCTGTAAGCTTTCTTATTTCCTAAGTGACTGGAGGAATAAGAATATCTTCTGTTAAAATGTTTGGTCATATGTTCTCGTGTCCTTTAAAGGATATCTGGTTTGAACACTACTTAATTCAGGTACATGAGCCTTTCTGTTAATATTTTCAAGGGAGAAAGATGATGTTTTCCTAAGGAGGTAGAACATAAGTTAAACATACTAACAGAAGTGCCTTAAAGCAAGGGAAGATTTAAAGTTTCTAAAAACTTTGTCAATTGATTTTATTACCCTATTTGTATATTTTACTGTTCTGACAGACTGAAAGTGTCATGAACAATGGAAATGCTGAAAAATTGGACATATGTTGCAAATAGACTGAATTATTTGACCAGTGAAAGCAGTTTCTCAGTCTGTGATGCTCAGAAGGAAACTCCTTAACAGAAATAGGCCAAGACTTAAAAGGGTCATAGTTAAGACACATGAACAAAGAATTCATTATATTTATTATGTCCTGTTAATACTTGATGAAAATCTTAAGTGAAAAAGTCAAATTTTACCCTTGTTTTATTGTATTATTAATGTTAAAGGTAATTTTAATAGAATGTTACAAGCAAATTTATCCAGTCTCAGTTTTGACCACTGGAGATAAGATTTTTATAAACCGTTTATAACCCCTTACAATTGTTCCATTCTTTTTTTCTAACTTTCTATACCTATTCCATTTATCCATTTGTTTCTCATTTTTGTTTTTTTCAATTCAAACTTTAACTGTAAACTAGGCAAAATTATATATATATATACTTTTTTTTTTACCAGAAATGACATCTTTGTATCTATTTTTATAAACATCACCAGAAACACATATTTTTCTCACATAAATGAGAAATTGCCAAGGTTTCAATTTCTTTCCTTTTCCCATCACTTCCCTTTTCCTTTCCTGACCAAGTCTCATTTTGTTGATAGTGCAATGGTGTCAGAACTCATTGCAACTTCCAACTCTTCACTTCAAGTGCTCTTCGTGCTTCAACCTCCCAAGTAGATGAGCCTACAAATGTTTGCCATCATGCCTGGCTAATGTTTCTATTTTTGCAGAGATAAGATCTTATTCTGTTGCTCAGGCTGGTCTGGATCTCCTAGCCTCAAGTTACCCTCCAGCCACAGCCTCTCCAAATGTTGGGAGTACAGATGTGAGTCATAACACATTTTTTCTTTATATACTTTTTATGTAGAATTGTTTCTCTTTTCTCTAGTTTTAGTTACCATGTGTTAGAATTTTAAATTTTAGTAACTATTTTTCTTTTCTTTGTTTTAATTTTTTGACCTCTTTTTCTGATCTTTTCTATTTTATAGGAGAGGTATGCACTAAAACGTCTAGGCACTGAGCTGACCTGACTTTGAAGGGGAAAATATCTAGGATCTCTTCCCCTTTCCCCATCATCTCCTTACTGGGCTTTGAGAATCATTCAGCCCTATGTATCAGAGGACGGATTTGCCCTCCATGGAATAGCTCCATAGAAAAAGAAGTCACAGGGCCTGGCGCAGTGGCTGTCACCTGTAATCCTAGCATTCTGGGAGGCCAAGGTGGGTGGATTGCTTGAGCTCAGGAGTTTAGAGATCAGCCTGAGCAAGAGTGAGACTGCCACCACTCCTGTAGCCCCAGCTCTCAGGAGGGTGAGACAAGAGGATCTGTGGAGCCCAAGAGTTCAAGGTTGCTGTGAGGTATGAAACCACAGCACTCTTCCCAGGTAGATGGAGTGAGACTTGTCCCTGGTTATGTAGACTTCAATTAATTTT